CTGGGTAGCCCGGCCCCCGCCTGGTACCACCGTGATCTGAGCCGCGCTGCCGCCGAGGAGCTGCTCGCCCGGGCGGGCCGCGATGGCAGCTTCCTGGTCCGAGACAGCGAGAGTGTGGCGGGGGCCTTCGCACTCTGCGTGCTGTGAGTGGGGCAGGGACTCCAGGCTGGCGGTAGGAGGGGTCGTGGGGCACAAGTGTGTTAGGAGGGCCCGGGATAACTGGGCCGGTGGGACGCTAGCGCCCCCCAGAGTGGGGGCCTTCGCTTTATCAAGGAGCTGAGGTGGATGCAGAGGACACTTCCTTCCTGCTCTGTATCTGGGTTCACTTTCTGGAGTTTTGAAGGCAGTGTGTGGGGTCCTGCGGCCCAGCGTGGTTGTAATGGGGGAAAAAGGCAGCCAGTCCCAGGTACCCTTAAGGTAGAAGATGCTAGAGGGGTGAGGGTGTGCTTTCCAAGGTTGTATTCAGTTCAGTTCTGTTTATACAGGAATTAAGTGAGCGGTGGGAGTTGGGAGAAGAGGGGCTGGTGTGTGTGTGTGCCCAACAGCATCTGTGCCCCTAGGACTTAAGTTGGGGACTGCCTGACTGTGTATGGCTGAGGAGAGTGGCTGGTGTTAAAGGAAGCCATGAGGGTAGGGTGAGGCTACATGGAGCTGTCATTATTTCATGAATTAATGAATGAGTTTGTATGCCCCTGGCTCTGAATTGAGCCCTGGGTATCTGGCTGCTCTAGTCCTGAGCGATGTGTGGGTGTTGGGTGCTGGACTAGCTGCAGCAGCTCTCAGAGTGGTGCTGGTCCTCTGGCTGTGTGTGGTAGTGGTGTTGGGTGAGTTTGAACTTTCAGTTTGGGAGACTTGCCCCAACCTATATACCTCCTGCCCCACAGTCAGACACTGAGTGGAGTCCTGTGGATGTCTGGAGTGGGAGGTAGATGAAAGCTAGAGGGGCTGCTTTGTTTAGATCTAGTCATGTTGTTCCTCCTTAGCTCTGTGAACCCCTCCTCCCAAACCCTGTCCCTCTGTCTCCTCCCCGCCCTACCCCCTGCCCTAGCATTTTTAGGGATATATTGGCCAAAGCTAGTGGTTCTCAGTTGGGGTCTGGCCCCCCTCCCAGGAGATAAAATGTCTGGAGAAAATTTTGATTGTCATAGTTGGGATGGTGCTACTGGCATCTAGTGGGTAGAAGCCAGTGGTGCTGCTAAACATTCTGTAATACACAAGGCAGTCCCCTACCACAAAGAATTACCCAGACCAAGCTGTCAGGAGAGCTGAGACTGACAAACCCTGGCCCAGGCAGTTGACCTGAAGAAGAAGGGACCCCTGTAAGTCTCAATTCTTGTCCCAAGTCCGAGGCCCGGTAGTGGGGCGGTGGTGGGGGGCTGAAGAGGGACAACCAAGGCAGATGAACATTCTAGGAGTCCTGCCTCCCAGTTTGCTCTGAGGCGTACCCCCTAATTAGGGAGGGAGGCAGGTGGTGGGTCAGCTGTTGAGTAGGAGGGGGACAGCTGGGGCCTGTGTCTGGGTGAGGGACATTATTGTCTGAGGAGGGAGAAAATCATGGCTCCATTGCCAGGGGAGGGGTGGGGAGGCCGAGGGGTCTATGCGGGGGGCTTCAGCCTTACCAGCTGACTGACTGGCTGCTTCCTGCATCTCAGGAGCCAGGCGATCAGAAATGGCTGCTCTCTTAGCCTTCATAAGCAAATGCATACTTTCTTACCCGCATAGGCACCCACATGTATGCAGATGACATCTAAGACATGTCCCTGCCCCACCAGGCACAAGCAATCTGACCAGCAGGCCAGGATATGGGCCCAGGCTCTAAATCCCAGCTTTACTTTTTACTTGTCCCATGACCGTAAATCATTGTTCCTCTTTAAGCCTCAGTTTTCTTATCTGGGGAATGGGCATAATATCTGCTGCAAATTGCAAGGATTAAATGAGATCATGTCTATCGGATAGTAAGTGCCTGGCCTTACACAGAAACAGGGTTCAGTGAATGGGATAGTGTTATTGTTATAACAGCAGCATTTGGCGCTCTGTAGGGCCAACATGCCCCTCCTACCCAGCATATGCACAGGCCTGGGTGACTCTTGGGTAAGCCCACCCTGAGGTGTGGCAGAGACAGAGTCTTCAGCCCCCAACTAAGTGTACGCCCATGTGAAGGCCTGTCTCAGCTGTCACCTGCTCAGCTGTTGCTGCTGTCTGTCGGCACCCCTCTTGGCCCTTCTCAGCGCGGGACTCTTAGAGCTCTAGGTCTCCCATGTGGCAACCCCCTTGTATCATACCTATTCCCTGGTGCCTGGGGGAGGAGTGGCGAGGGTAATATCCCCGTGCTGCTCCACAAAACTGCTACAGACACACTGATTCCTTCTGAGCCAGATATCAGTGTAAACACAGATGGGAGGCACACATGTGTGTGAGCACATTGCCCATATGCAGCACAGAGAAGTTAACTGGGCTTCTGTGAGGGCTTTTACTCTGGCGGGGGGCCCAGACTGGTACCACAGCCCAGAGGGGCTGTTTAGACAGCTGTGCAGGCCACAAAAGAGGTGCCTGTTGCTTCCCAGGCCCTGTGGTGGGTGTGGAATCTATGCAGGTCTGAGGATAGTGGGGGTGGGGGATCAGCACTAGGGTGGTGGAAATGGGCTGGCTCTATCATTAACACTGTGCAGTGTGAGCAAGTGGTTTTAGGGAGGGGTCTAGAGGTCTGGAGGGAGTGTCTTGGGGCTTAGACCCCTGCCTGGGGTGAAAAATTCTGACCCCCTTCTTGCCTTCAGGTATCAGAAGCATGTTCACACATACCGCATTCTGCCTGATGGAGAAGACTTCCTGGCCGTACAGGTAGGAGATTTGCCCCTGACCCTGATCCCAGCCTGAGGGTTTGGGATCCTCTAGTTGACTCTTCCTTCCACCCTTGCTGGCCTGTAGACCTCGCAGGGTGTGCCTGTGCGCCGCTTCCAGACCCTGGGTGAGCTCATTGGCCTGTATGCCCAGCCCAACCAGGGCCTTGTGTGTGCCCTGCTGTTGCCTGTGGAACGGGAGCGAGAGCCGGACCCACCTGATGACCGAGATGCCTCAGGTGCTGCCCAACGCATGCCACATCCATTCCCTGCCCGACCCCCAAGCACTGTGTTACCTGTTCCATCTTCTCACCTCTTGTTCCCTTGAAGCCCCCCACCTCCTTCACCACAGTGCCAGAGCCTGTTACCCCTTTTCCGTGGGAGTCTCTGGCAGCCATGGCTTCCTCCATGCCCCACGGAGGGTGGGAAGCTCAAATTGCTGTCCCCTGCCTGCTGTCCACAGATGGGGAGGATGAAAAGCCCCCACTGCCCCCACGCTCTGGCTCCACCAGCGTTTCTGCCCCCATGGGGCCCAGCAGCCCCCTGCCAGCCCCTGAGACCCCCACAACTCTGGCTGCTGAGAGGTGAGACCCTAGCCCCCTCCACTGAACAGGAAGTCCCTTTCTCCTCTGAGAACTCCCCAGGGACCTCTGCCTCACACCCCCCCTCCAATCAGCCCCAGAAGCAGATACCTGCTCCATTTGCCCCCTGTGTCATCTCCTGTTAGGGATGGGTGGGGGTGCAGGGACAGTCAGGCAGGGCCTCCACTGACTTCTTACCCCCTCCCGAAAGTGCTCCTAATGGGCTGAGCACCGTTTCACACGAGTACCTGAAGGGGAGCTACGGGCTGGACCTGGAAGCTGTGCGGGGCGGAGCCAGCAACCTGCCTCACCTCACCCGCACTCTTACCACTTCCTGTCGGAGGCTGCACAGGTACCTGGGACATCCAGCCCCATGCACTGAACCCTTACCTCTGACCTGCCCTCACCTGTTCCTTTGCTACACAAACACCCTGAGCTTTGACCCTGTACAGTGAACTAGCCTCCTAACTTTTCCTCCCCTGTGTCCTTGGGTGCTTGTGGTGGAGGCTGAGGCTATACACTCAGCACCTCCTCCCTTGTACGAAAGCTAGGGTGGAGGATTCTTTTGACCTGATATCTCCCCTAGTGAGGTAGACAAGGTCCTGTCAGGCCTGGAGATCCTGTCCAAGGTGTTTGACCAGCAGAGCTCACCCATGGTGACCCGTCTTTTGCAGCAGCAGGTGGGATTGTGGAGGGGGGACTCCAAGGGAATGGGTTCATTCTTTATGGCTAGGTGGGGGTCCTCTTGCTTGGTGGCCTCATGTACAAGCCTCATTCTTCCCCCAGAGCCTACCGCAGACTGGGGAGCAAGAGCTGGAAAGCCTGGTGCTAAAGCTGTCAGTGCTCAAGGACTTCCTGTCAGGCATCCAGAAGAAGGTGGCCTGACTCCTTATCTCTTGTCTTCTGACCCCCTATTCCCTCCCCTGCCTTAACTGCTTGCATTGGCCTGACATTGATCTCACTTCTGAACCTGAAGTTTAGCATTGATTCCAACATTAATCATGCCCCTGCCCTTGCCCCCTCCAGGCCCTGAAGGCCTTACAAGACATGAGCTCCACAGCACCCCCAGCTCCACTGCAGCCATCTACCCGTAAGGCCAAGACCATCCCTGTGCAGGCCTTTGAGGTACATGGCATGGGGTGCCAGGTGGGATCTCAAGGGGCAAAGGGTGGTTAGAGGTGAAGGAAGACCTACCTGCCTCAAGGTCTTGTCAGCAGCCTCCCCACGTCCTGCCCCTGGGCTGCAGGTGAAGCTAGATGTGACCCTGGGTGACCTGACCAAGATTGGGAAGTCACAGAAGTTCACACTGAGCGTGGATGTGGAGGGTGGACGGCTGGTGCTGCTACGGAGACAGCGGGACTCACAGGAGGACTGGACAACCTTCACTCATGACCGCAGTGAGTGAGGGCCACACCTGGACAGGCTGGCCAGGGTGGGACCTCCAGGTTCTAGATGCACGAGACTGTGTGACCTGTTCTCTGTCCCCTAGTCCGCCAGCTGATTAAGTCCCAACGTGTCCAGAACAAGTTGGGTGTCGTGTTTGAGAAGGAGAAGGACCGGACACAGCGCAAGGATTTCATCTTTGTTAGTGCCAGGGTGAGTGACAGGCCAGGCCATTGGGACCGCAGGGGTCCCCAGGTGGACCTGTCCAGCGGATGGGAAGAGAAGGAGGGCATGATGTAGGTATGCCATTCCTCTGGGCAGAGATGGGTCTGACAGAGAATAACTGTATTGAGAATAAGTGGCCCAAGGGTGGATTCAAATAATTATTCAGTGAAAATTTACTGAGCACCTATTGTGGTGCTTTGTTCTGTTATTATGGTGCTTGAGTAGTGGGTAGTATACTCAGACAGGTAGGACCCTTCCCTCATGGTACTTACTGTCTAGCAGGGTATCCCTGTGGGTGGTGGGGGTTCCTGGCTGTTCCACCAGCCCCTGATGAGCTATTGTCCCCCCAGAAGCGAGAGGCCTTCTGCCAGCTGTTGCAGCTCATGAAGAATAAGCACTCCAAGCAGGATGAACCTGACATGATCTCTGTCTTCATAGGCACCTGGAACATGGGTCGGGCTTGGGCAGGGGTTGAGGTTGGGGGAGAGGGGTATCCCCAGGACTGGGGCCCGACCCTACCCTTACCCATCCCTTCCATCTCCAGGAAGTGTGCCACCTCCGAAAAATGTGATATCTTGGTTCACATCAAAGGGTCTAGGGAAGACCCTGGACGAAGTCACGGTGACCATACCCCATGACATCTATGTTTTTGGGACCCAGGAGAACTCAGTGGGCGACCGAGAGTGGCTGGACCTACTGCGCGGGGGCCTCAAGGAGCTCACAGATTTAGATTACCGCCCGGTGAGGGGGGCATGGGGACAGGGTAGCCCTGAGAAAATGCAATATGAGTGGCTCCCTCTGGTCCCTGGGCACATCTCTTGGGAGGTCTAACCTGAGTCCTTTATGCTGTTGGGGGGGGTCCATTATTCTCTGGCCACATAGGAGAGAGGGATGGCAGGCAAACAAGTGTTTTATCCTATGATGAACGTAACAATCTATACTAAAGGCTAGGGGCAGTGGGAACAGTGGCCCTAGCCCAGGCCCAAGGTGACCCTGCTCTTTGTACCCAGATTGCCATGCAATCCCTATGGAACATCAAGGTGGCTGTGCTGGTCAAGCCAGAGCATGAGAACCGTATCAGCCATGTCAGTACATCCAGCGTGAAGACTGGCATTGCCAACACCCTGGGTGAGCACTGTGGGCAAGATCCTTCTGTCCACACCTCCTGCTGCTTTTCTTGTTCAGGGTCTCCCCCTTTTGTAAAGCATATTCATATTCTAAATCTCTTCAGTCCCACCAGAAAGGTAGGGCCAGAATTATTACACTCATTTCAAAGATGATAAAACTCAGGCCCTTGGGTAGCCTGTCCAGGGTCACACAGCAAGTAAGTGGTGGGGCCAGACACAGTGCCCAGGTCTCCTGATTTGCAGCCCAGTGTCCCTTTTCTCAAGATAACTGCAGGTGCTTTCAATTGCACCCTTGGGATCCCCCATGATATCCAGGGTCTCTGCGCATACAGACAGTCTCAGACCTTCCAGAGGAACTGCGTGTGTCCTGTGTGGACCCCTAGGGAAGGAGTAGTTGTGTGTTCAGGGCCCGCCATCCTCATAATATCTGGAAAGGTGGGCAGGGTCCTCCCACTGTGCTACTTTGAGGGGCAGAAGGGTGAATTGGGAGCCCTTCCAGGGTGACCTGGGTCTTCCATTCTCACTTGGCCCTGACAGGGAACAAGGGGGCCGTGGGAGTCTCCTTCATGTTCAATGGCACCTCATTTGGCTTTGTGAACTGCCACCTCACTTCAGGAAATGAGAAGACTGCTCGGTGAGGAGTGCCTTCTTCCTAGTCTCTTTACCTCCACCCCCTATTCTCCTGAGACCTAGTTTCTCTCCTGTATCCCAGTATATGACCTTCCACATCTCTGTCTCCAGGGACCCCCTTCCCCTCCCTTAATCCTAACTCAAGACCCCTCTGTCTGCCCCCATCCCTGATCTTGTCCTCAGCTCCTCCTCCTCCTGTCCTCAGGGACCCCGATCCCTGCCCTACCCCTGATCCCAGAGACCTTTTACCTTTACTCTGATCCCTGAGTCTTGACCCTGGGGATCCCCGCCACCCTAGGCGGAACCAGAACTACCTGGACATCCTGCGGCTGCTCTCGCTGGGTGACCGGCAGCTCAGTGCCTTTGACATCTCTCTGCGCTTCACTCACCTCTTCTGGTTCGGAGACCTCAACTACCGCCTGGACATGGATATCCAGGTGTGAGCAGGGCCTGGGGAAGAGCTAGTAGGAAGGCTGGGCTGAGGGCCAAGTGGGCTACTACAATGGCTCAGGAGGGATGTGCCCAGTCTCTGTGTCCCCCACCCCAGGAAATCCTGAACTACATCAGCAGGAAGGAATTTGAGCCTTTGCTCAGGGTGGACCAGCTCAACTTGGAGCGGGAAAAGCACAAGGTCTTTCTTCGATTTAGTGAGTGTGGGGCCCAGGAGGTTATCCTTGAGGGCTAGGGAACCTGCGGAATGCCTGGTTTGTCAGGGCCATTACCTGTTCCCTGCCTTTCCTAGGTGAAGAGGAAATCTCCTTCCCGCCCACCTACCGATATGAACGGGGTTCCCGAGACACATACGCCTGGCACAAGCAGAAGCCGACTGGGGTGAGTGAGGAGAGCAGGGTGGGGCATGTGGGACCTCTTCCCCTCCCAGGACTATAGTGAATCAAAATGCACGTAGGGTCAAAGGTCTAGGTCTCTACAGTTACCATTCTGGCTTCTTTGATTCTTCTGTGGCCTTAGGGTGATTCTGAGTGTTGTGAGGATCCAAGAAGGGTGCCAGTGTGACAGGAGTGTGGGGCTTCATCAGCCCTGGAATGGGGCCATGCCAAGAAGCCCCCACCTGTTGGTTCTGACCATCCTGCCATCCCCCTGCTGCAGGTCCGGACCAACGTGCCCTCATGGTGTGACCGGATCCTCTGGAAATCCTACCCCGAGACCCACATCATCTGCAATTCCTATGGTCAGAACCTTCTGGATGGGTGGGGAGAGACTGGGGCACTCACTGTCCTGATGGCCTCAGCTCTGGGAGGTGGGAGAGAGAATCAGGCTCTTCCTCCAGACCCTCATTCTTTTCTCCCCTCAGGCTGCACTGATGACATCGTCACCAGTGACCACTCCCCTGTGTTTGGGACATTTGAGGTTGGAGTTACATCTCAGTTCATTTCCAAGAAAGGTGACTATTTTGGATGTGCTTGTGGACATGGGATCCATCTGGATAGCCTGGGTGTTACTGGGTCTGAGTATACATGAGGAAGTGTGTATGTGTGCTTGGGTGTATGTTCACATGTGTGCAGGGATTGTTTCTGAATATACAGTGTGTGCTGGTGTCTGGCTGGGTTATCATGTGAGGTACATATCCATGAATGTGTGCGTAGATGTGTACATGAGTATAAATGTACGTATGTCTCTGCCTGGGACCACTTGTGTGCCTGTGAGTGTGCTGAGTGGTGTGGGGCATTGTTTGTGGACATTCCCTGCAGGCATTCTGAACTTTGCCCCTTCTTAGATGGGTCTCTCATCTTTGGGTTGGCTGTTTGCTATGGGCTTTTGGGTCTCCCTGTTGGTAGTAGAGGATTGGGGCCTTCTTTCCCATATGCAGAACCCCTGATTTGTGGTCCTAAGGCTCAGCTTCTCTGTCCCATTCATCCCATACCCCTTGCCTTCTCATACCGTCTCAGCTGTCTTCTTTCTGCCCACTTCCCATTGCCCCTCAGGGCTCTCGAAGACTTCGGACCAGGCCTACATTGAGTTTGAGAGCATTGAGGCCATTGTGAAGACAGCCAGCCGCACCAAGTTCTTCATTGAATTTTATTCTACTTGCCTAGAGGGTCAGAGGCAGGGCCCAGGGCTGGGTGTGGGCCAAGGGGGAGGGGAGGCACCAGAGCCTGCAAGGGGAAGCAGAAGGAGGTGGCATTCAGTTGGGTGTCACCTCCCTACCAGAATACAAGAAGAGCTTTGAGAATGATGCCCAGAGCAGTGACAACATCAACTTCCTCAAAGTGCAGTGGTCATCACGCCAACTGCCCACGGTGAGGTTTGGGCAGGGCCTGGGCATGGGGGCACTGGCACAGAGAGGCAGGTGGCAGAGCAAATATGGATGCCTGTCTCAGGAGTGCAGGGTCCCAGAGAGCCTGGGTGTGTTTGTGCACAGTGTGTGAGCGCTATGTGTGTGTCTTTGGCTGGGCATGTGTGACAATATGTACGTATGTATATATATGTATTTGGATATGTGTGGGACCAAGTTGCAGTTTATTCATTTGTTCAATAAATAACTTCTGGAGCCTTTGCTAAATGTCAGGTCCTGTGTTGGCCACTGAGAATGCAGAAAATTCATTAGTTACCATGATGTTAAACTGTGTCTTCCACATTAAGGATTTGGGATGTCCCTTAAAAGTTGCATGTGAGTGAGTGTGGAGGACCCTGAGGGTAGGAATGAGTGTTTTCAGGGCAGCATGTGGGAGGGACAGCAGGGTGTGGTTGGGGTTTGCTCCTCACTGGTCTCTCCACTCCCCAGCTGAAGCCGATTCTGGCTGACATCGAGTACTTGCAGGACCAGCATCTCCTCCTCACAGTCAAGTCCATGGATGGCTACGAATCCTATGGTGAGGGGCGAGGGGTGCCAAGGAGTATAGGAAGCTAGGCAGAAGCCTAGAAAATTTTGGCAATTTGCTGGTTCATCCCACCGCCCTCCAGGGGAATGTGTGGTTGCGCTCAAGTCCATGATTGGCAGCACAGCTCAGCAGTTTTTGACCTTCCTGTCCCACCGCGGTGAGGAGACAGGCAACATCCGTGGCTCCATGAAGGTGCGGGTGCCCACAGAGCGCCTGGGCACCCGTGAACGGCTCTACGGTGAGGGCTCCTCTGGGGAGGAGTGTGGGCATGAAGTGGGCTGATGTGGAGGCCAGGGAATGCCTAGGAAGGGAGAACCTTGGGGGGCATGGTGGAATCTCTGGGATGCTTGGAAGTTCCGCAGCCACAGCAGTGAGTGAGTCTGCCCCAGTAGCTGGGAAGGGGCTGGCAAGCTTAGTGTGTGTTGCATCTCCCTTCTCCCATCCCCAGAGTGGATCAGCATTGATAAAGATGAGGCAGGAGCAAAGAGCAAAGCACCATCTGTGTCCCGGGGCAGCCAGGAGCCCAGGTAAGCTGGGGCTGTGGTAGGTGTTACATGCCCAGGAGCTTTTGGCCAGCCCTCCTTCATCTCCCTCTCCCTGTGTACCCCTGGCAGGTCAGGGAGCCGCAAGCCAGCCCCCACAGAGGCCTCCTGCCCACTGTCCAAGTTATTTGAAGAACCAGAGAAACCCCCACCTACTGGAAGGCCCCCAGCCCCACCCCGAGCAGCTGCCCGGGAGGAGCCCTTGACCCCCAGGTAAGAAGAGGAAGCTGTCACACACACACACATGCACATACACGTACTGCAGTCTGTCTCCCACTTTAGCCCTTGTTATGTTTGGATCCCAGCATGGGCTTGGGGATCATCTGTTTGGGAGCTCTGCTGCCCTGTGGCTGCAGTCACTGTGGCCCTATGTCCATGGCCACTCTGGCCAACTGGGCTTCCCTTAGGTGTGGCTGGCTCCCTGAATCAAAGGGAGCACAGTCAGCCTTTCCTTTCAACTCGACCTTAAAAAAAAAATAGAAATTGTTTTTCAAACGGCTCCCTCCATGTAAACAGACTTAACTGGAGCCTTCTGTCTGGAGAAGGCACATGGCATAGCACAGGATTTCCCAAGGTGTGTTCCTTGGAACAGTTGTCCTACAAGATGCCCACTAAGAACAGGCTTGTAGTTAGATGAGTTTGAGAAAGCCTCTTGTAGATTCTTTTCTTAGATAGTCATAGTGCAAAATTAGTATTAGCAGAAGTTCTGGCATTCTCCAGGAAGGAAACCTTTTTCAACTCTGTTTAATATAGTTTCCCAAACTTAATGGGCCAGGAAACTTTGTCTCCACATATTAATGATTAATGTCCTGTGGAAGGAGCCCTGGTGGCACAATGATTAAAGCGCTCCGTTGCCAACCAAAAGGTCAGTGATTTGAACGCAAGCCCCTCTCTGGGAGAAAGATGTAGTGGTCTGCTTCTGTAAAAATTACGGCTTTGGAAACCCAATGGGCCAGTTCTATTCTGCCCTGCAGGGTCACTGAGTCCGAATCAACTGGATGGCAGTGGGTGTGGTTTGGTTTGGAATATCCTGTGGAACTAGTGTCCTGTGGAACTAGTGTCCTGTGGACCATACTTTGGGAAATCGAGGCTTGCTTTCTAATGATATGCAACTGTTGCTTAAACTTAACTAAAAGCTCATTGGTGACTTTTTACTCATCTTCAGCTGTCATCAGTCACCTTGGTTTAATCTCCAGGCTTCAGTAAAACTCACCTGAACCCTTGGCTAAGATTCCTCAGTGGATGGACCTCAGGAGCCTTATTGCCCTGCCATCTGGCACCTCTGTTTTCACCCATTTGAGCTCAGGTTTTACTCAGTGGTAAGGTTTTCACAGACAGTCATAAGAGTTCCGAGAGTCTTAGTAAGTCAGACAAGGGAGTTTGGGGATTGTTTATTCAACACTATTGTCCCAGATTTTAGAGGTGAGAAAGCCGAGGGCCAGAGAGGGAAAGTGATCAGTTCAGGGCCACACATGCACAGGGCTCAAGTGTGTTCTTCCACTGCACCTGTGTCTTCACTTCGGTTTCTGGGTCCTGACTTGGTTATCCTACTGTGAAACCCAGGTTGAAGCCAGAGGGGGCTCCAGAGCCAGAAGGAATGGTGGCACCCCCACCCAAGAACAGCTTCAATAACCCTGCCTACTACGTCCTTGAGGGGGTCCCACATCAGCTGCTGCCCCCAGAGCCACCTTCGCCTGCTAGGGCTCCTGTCCCACCTACCACCAAGAACAAAGTGGCCATCACAGTGCCTGCTCCACAGCTTGGACGCCACCGGCCCCCCCGTGCTGGGGAGGGGAGCTCATCAGATGAGGAGTCAGGAGGCACACTCCCCCCTCCAGACTTCCCACCCCCACCACTGCCAGACTCTGCCATCTTCCTGCCCCCCAGCCTGGATCCTACGCCAGGGCCAGTGGTCCGGGGTCGCAGTGGGGTTGAGGCCCGGGGCCCACCACCCCCCAAGACCCATCCAAGGCCCCCGCTGCCCCCAGGCCCCTCCTCTGCCAGCACTTTCCTGGGGGAGGTAGCCAGCGGGGACGACCGCTCCTGCTCGGTTCTGCAGATGGCCAAGACACTGAGTGAGGTGGACTACGCTCCTGCTGGGCCTGGCCGCTCAGCACTCCTCCCAAGCCCCCTGGAGCTGCAGCCACCCCGAGGACTCCCCTCAGACTATGGCCGGCCCCTCAGCTTCCCTCCACCCCGCATCCGAGAGAGCATCCAGGAGGACCTGGCAGAGGAGGTGTGTGGGCCGGGGAGGTTGGCTGTGCATACCTGAGGTGTGTGTGCACTCATGGTCTGTGGTATCCTTCCACTGTACAGCACTCAGGAGTGACCTCTTGCCCTGAAATGGTCACTGGGTTGTGAGAGACACATGAATTGGCCTGAGACCTTACTTCCCTTCCCCAAAGCATGCAGTGGAGTGTGACTGGCTGCAGGTGCCTCTGTATGCCTGTGTATGTGGGTGCTTTTGGTGTACCCCCTGACAATCCCTGTTCTCTCAGGCTTCTTGCCCGCAGGGCGGGCGGGCCAGCGGGCTGGGCGAGGCGGGCATGGGCGCCTGGCTGCGGGCCATCGGCTTGGAGCGCTATGAGGAGGGCCTGGTGCACAATGGCTGGGACGACCTGGAGTTTCTCAGGTGGGGGCGGGGCTGGAGGTGGATGGGGTAGGTCTAGCCCTGGGGGCAGGGCTCAGGGCCTTTCTGAACCGGCTTACTGACCATCTAGTCTCTGTTACCTCCACAGCGACATCACTGAGGAAGACCTGGAGGAGGCTGGGGTGCAGGACCCGGCTCACAAGCGCCTCCTTCTGGACACGCTGCAGCTCAGCAAGTGATGGCAATGGCTGCACAAAGCTGCGGACTCAGTGTGCCTCTACCCCACTTTACCAAGGCCCAGCCATAGCTCCAGGGTTGAAAATTTGAGAGTGCTACTGCAGTGCCTCTTTCTGCCTATTTATTGGGGAGCTGTGTTCCCCACTGCCCAATCATTTGGAGCGCCCTAATTGGGATATTCTACCCTCATCTTTTAAGCCCAGGACTCCATAGGTCAGTTGCCATGGTCACCAGGGGCCACAGTTACTTGGTATGATGCTGTCCTCCCTTTCTGGACCCCTCCCTCCAGCCCCAGGGATGCCTATGGGGGCAGTTGGGTATGTGTGGGTCCCACTTCCACTGCTGTTTCTGCTGCCCTCCATAGGGACTGAACCACAGGGTGAGAAGGCTCAGCTAGGATCTCTCTCAACTCCCCACTTGAGGGGTGTCCATCCGGAAATGAAGGAACAGCCCCAGGACCGGGCTGAGGTTTATTTAAGGTTTTCTGTGTGGGTTTTGGTGGGGAGGACGTTTTAATATTATTGGGGTGGGGTGGGATGGGATGGGATGGGATGGGAGGGCAGGATCTCACCATAAAGTGGCAGTTGCTTAGTTCCCACTGCTGCCTGGCCTATACTGCCCTGTGCTGGAGGAATGCGGCTAGCTGAGCCCAGGGGCTCCTTGCAGGTCACAGCTGGGGACAAGTCTGTTGCAGCCACCCTGTGCCCATCCTGGGCACGCAGAAGTGCTGCCTGTGTGATGTCTTCAATAAATTAAATTTTATTTGGATTGAGCAGAACTCACTTCAATAAATTACGGACAAGTTTTTCAAAGGAAAGAGACAAAAATGAGAAAAAGAGAAACCCTCCTGTCCTTTGCCCAGGCAACTGTCCACCTCTGACCAGCCTGCCTTTTGCACCAGACCCTGGCTGGAGGTGGGAGGGATGAATTGGTGGTGGGACTCAGGCCATGACCATCCCAGTGACAACCCACTACTGGCCAGTAGGTGGGTGCAAGGGATGGAGCAGCAGGCACTGGTGGTCACCAGGGTAAGGTGTGACCCAGCCGGCTGCATAGTCACTGGATGGGGTCAGCTGGTCCTTGAGGACTCTAACGTTTTGGACAGTGTTGGGACTAGTGTTACTTGATCCCAGTTCCAAGGAAGGCCAAACTAGAAGGGGTTCTGGGCTCTCCTGGAAGGTGTCCTGATGAAAAGTATCCCGCTTTACTAAGTGGGGGTGGGTGGAGATGACAATGGCCCTGACTTGATCTCCAAAGCTGCGGATAGTACACCTAGGGGCCAGAAACGGGTTGGGGGTGGATGGGGATTTCCTGGCAGCCAGCCAGCCAGGATGGAGAGAGACTGTCTGGTCCTGATGGAGCAAGGGCGTCTTGGGGCAGGCTGGGAGTCTCCAGAGTTGTGCGGCTAGAAGAGATTGGTCTTCAGGGCAGGACCGGGCTTCCGGTGGAAAGAGGACAGAACCCCCGAAAAGGGCCCAGGGCCGGGCTCCGCCGGCTGCCAGGCCTTGAGCAGCTCAGCTGCGCCCGCGCCAGGCCCGCCGCCCCCACCGCCTGTCACGCCGGCCCACAACGGGCCCTTCAGCGGCTGTGGCCCCGGCCCGGGCCCAGAGCCCAGGGCGGGGGGCAGCGGGCTGGGGCTCAGACGCGGACTGGCTAGGCCAGGGGCCGGCGGTGGCGGCAGCGACGCGGTGCTGTCGGGCGTGGGGCTGCACGTGGACTCCTTCGAGTCGTCGTCCTCGGACGAGCAGCGCGCCTCGCCCTTTTTGGTTCCGGCAGAGCCCGCTGCTCCCTTGGCGCTGGCCGCGCGCTCCTGTTTGCGGAACTTGGCCCGGCGGTTCTGGAACCAGACCTGCGGGCACAGGGGCCGATCAGCTGGGTCGAGGGTAGGAGAACACAAGGGATCCGCTTCGGACTGCAAGCCGTGGGTGAAACCTCGATCTGAAACCTGGGCCGAGGCCATCTCCATCCGCGAGGGAGACCCAAAGCCGTCGCAGCGTTGGGCGCTTAGTTCTCCCCTACTCAGCTCGTCGTCCTCATCTCCCTGCTCCTCTACCCTACTCCAGTTGTCCCTTCCCCTAGGTCCTTAGTCTTCCCCTTTGGGAGCCACTCATAGGTATATTCCGCTACCTGAGTGCTTTTGGGACTTGGCCTCTTCTGTTCACCCTTAGCCCTGCCCCTCCATCCTCACTTCTAGAAAGCTCTGGGAGTTTGCGCCAGGAATGCCCAAGGTCCTGGTGAGAGGGTTAGGGCCCCAGGGGAAACCCTTTCTCTCGGAACCTCCAGCAAACGCAGGCCAGCCGCACAGCTGTACTCGTGTACTCGGGATTTGTACAGATAGATAACATAGCCAGCCAGGTCTGGCTGTCCTTGGCTCTGTGCCTACTCCAAGTCCAGGCTTCCCGGGTTCAGGGTTTTCACAGCTATGGAACTGAGGAGAGGTCCTGGAGGCGTTGACAAGCCTGTCTCCGCTGGACTCGGTTCTGAGGCCGCCTACCTCAGGTTACCCTACTACCTACAGGGCCTCCCTCGTGGCTTCTTAAGCTTGTCTACCTGCCCGGCCCTAAGAGGGAGACGCGGGGAAATTTTCAGCGAGCTAGCAGGGTGCAGAATGGCTCGAGTTGGCTGATCATCTTCTGCGCAGCCCTCCTGGAACTGTGTCCTAGACTCTGGCCCTGAGCTCCCCACTTCAGGCTGCACTTGGCGTGACCTGGGTGAAGCCCCTCAGTCCCGCAAGCTCCCCAGACGTCGGGCACTAACCTCCCATAACCTCCGTGCGCACATACACTCCCCTACACTCATGCGTGTCCACACACCTGTACGCGAGCCTCGGTGAGGTCGATCTTAAGCGCCAGCTCCTCGCGGGTGTAAATATCGGGGTAGTGGGTCTCGGCGAAGACTCGCTCCAGCTCCTTGAGCTGCGCGCTCGTGAAGGTGGTACGGATGCGCCGCTGTTTGCGCTTCTCATGCAGGCCCGACGGCTCCGGGAAGAACTTGTAGGGCACTACAGGTGTGTGCAGGAGGGAGCAACTTAGTGGAGGGAGTAAGAGGCTGGGCTCGGCTCCCGGGTCCTTCCCAGGGACTTGGAGGGATGGGCACCGCCCCCCGCCCACCCCTGGCCTGGCCCACAGGTCTCCTCCTCTTAGCCGCAGGCAGAAAGCCTCTAGCCCTAGCTCCACCCAGCCGCTGGAGTAAAGGCGGATGGAGCGCGCGCTGGAAGACCAGAATCCGACCCTTCCGACCCAGTCCTCCACCACCCGCCCTGGTCCATCCACTCCCAGTCAGTCCACCTGCTGGCTCCGATCCTCCCCCTTCTTGTGTCTCTCCCTTCTCCAGTTCCCGGTCTTACCGCCCCACTTCAAGTTCTGCTCCATCCCCACCCTTGCTGTCTTTTGGGCTTCGTTACCAGCATCTTATCGCCCAGTTAGCCAGTTCTCGGCCTCTGCCCATTGAGACCATTCTGTCCCACGCTATTTTCAGCCTTGTCATGGGCTCTTTGCATGTATGAATTTGGCCCCCTCTACCTTGATCTCCATCTATCTCCTTCCCAGGTCTATCTCACTCTCATCCCTGGTTCCCATTCTCCCCCAGGCTCCTCTCCCCCACCTTCCTCCCCAACACATCCCCATATCTCTTCAACGTTCCCCTCCTGGACCATTCTTCTCTTTGTGCCCACTGAGAAAAGTCTTTACCTCTCCCCCACTCAGGTTCCTCCACCTTCTGTTCACCCTTCTTCCTCCCAGGCCCTTCTTTCTGTCTCCCATCACCCCAAAGTCACCCCATCTCTCCTTCTCTTCCCAGTCCCCAATGCCCCATCAATATAGAGACTCCCATTAGTGTCTCTATATTTTCTAGGGGTTCCCAATCTCCTTCATCTTTGTCCTATCTACCCAGGTTCCCAACTCCCCTAATCCTGTCTCCAACACCCCATTCCTATCTACATCTTCCCCATCTCTGCCTTCAGTTTTCGTTGGTCTCCAACCCCACCCCATATTTCCTTTCCCCATTACCTTGTTCTTATCTCCATCTCCCCAGGCCTAAGTCCCCATTTCTCCCCTCCCCAGTCTTCACATCTCTGTTCCCATCTCCCCAAACCGTTATCTGGCCCAGGCTCCTCATTCTTGCCATTCTTGTTCCAGTCTTTGCCTCATCTCTCTTGTCCTAATCTCTCCAAATTCAGGTCTCTATTTTACCCCCAGCACCACCTGACCTAGTTCTCCCTGGGTCCAGTTGGTCTTCCCAAGAGAAAAGGAGACTGGGTGGGGCAGCCTGGACCTTTCTAACCAGAGAACTGGGGGTGGCTGAGGGGTTCCATTAGGATTAGGGTTGAGTGAGTATGATCAAGAGGCTTGGGGACCTCAAGGGCTGCTTCTGGGTTCTGCAAGACTCTAGCTGGGAGAGGGTCAAGGGGAATGGGGAAATGTAAATGGCTTAAGGATATGGGCCTCATTTTTTTGCAGAGTGGTCCATGGTGTGGGCTTTGGTGAGGGTGACAGGACAGTTTGGGCCCCAAAGGGATGGAGCCAAGATGGCAGGCGTGGCAGGAGGGGCCTGATGGCATAAGGGCTCTAGCAAGTTCCCATCTGGCAGCTCAGCTGCCACAGAGGTCTTTGCTAGAGCACTCGCACGATATGGGGCGGTGGTGATAAGGCTGAGGGGCTGCTGGGGCTGAGCTGGGACCCTCCTTTGAGGATACCAGGGACAGAGAAATTTTGTGGTCAGTCTTTGCAGGTGGGGAGTGGACGACCTGGTGAGGCACCTGAGGCTCAACTGGGGATTTATTCCCTTGACCTATAGGGCCCGGGATAGGGATATAGCCGCAAGAAAAGAGGAAGGGGAAGGATGAGAGGCTGCACCTGATCCTGTCAAGGGGGAACTCCGTTGTACAGAGGTACTAGGAGTCCCGCTCAGCGTGGAGGGTTTGGCCAGAGTAAGGTTTGGGCGGCGGTGGGAGAGAGTCGCAATCATCTACCCAGTAGGGCATGGGCTGGGGATTCTGCAGGAATTTGGAAGGAGGGTTGGACAGGGGCTGCGCTCACCTGCTGAATAAGGCGCGGGCTGGTGGTCACGGAGGGCGCCAAGAGCGCAGTTGGAGGAACCGAGAGCGGGGCAGGGCGGCCCTGCCGCGGGGAAGGCTGGCCGCAGGGGGCTGTACTGGAAGCCGCCGGGCTGGCTGCAGGCGCCGAAGTCGCCGTAGGCGGACGCCTCCATGGCCGCCACGCACGAGTCGTACGAATTGAGGTAGGAGTAGTCCATCGGCCCGGGGGGCGGGGGCCGGGCAGGACGGGGTTGGGTCGGGGTCGGGATCCGGGCCCAGGTGGGGGTCCGAATGGGGGCCCAGGAGCCTGTGCTGAGGACGCGAGGCCGGCTCTAAGTGCCCGCGAGTCTGCCCGCCCCGTCGCGGCTGCACTCCGCCCGGGTGTAACGCAAGTGCCGCCCGGCGGGGCCCGCGCGCCTTTTAACGCGCAGGACCCTGTGGAGGGGGCGGGGCGGGAGTGCTCCGCGGGGGCGGGGCCTGGACGATTTAGGCCCCGCCCCAGTCGCCCCCGACCCCCACCCCAAGGGTCCTCGCCGCCCTCTTAGGTCTCCCGATGTGCTGGGCGGGGCGGCGCGGGAGCCCATCCCCAGAGCTCCCATTCCGCTCCAATGCAGGCTAGACCTTCGGTCTCTACACTCGTGCCAGGCTGGAGGGTCCCGACCCCTTTCCTGGGCCTCTCCACCTGCGGCCCCGCGGAAAGGAGGGAAGCTAGGCCCCGCGTCCCTCTTGTGAAGAAGTTAATTCAATTCGCTCTGATAACCGAGTTATTCTGGTCCAGCCCCTCGGCTCCGCCCCCCAGAGAGGTCCCATCCCGGCAGGGACCGCGGAGCCAGGCCCTTGAGAGGGGCTGGAGACGCGGACGAGGAAGGGACAGCGCCTAGGATGAGGACAGGGAAGGGATGTAGATGAAGAGAGGAGATGGAAACAGAGAGAAAGGGATAGAAACAGTGATGAGACTGGGACAAGAGAGATACAGGTATCCAGATGGAGACAAGGAGGAAACGCGGACAAGAGAGGCAGATAAGGAGACGATCAAGAAGGGGAAAGGGGCAGAGAAAGAGACAAGGATGAAACCTAGACAAGAGGAAGGGATGGAACCAGGGACACAGAGAGAGGAGATGGGGAGTGAGGTGGCAGTGGAGACAGGGACAGAGAAAGAAGTTGAGACAAGCATGGTTAGAGAGAAAGGACAGGAAGAGGGATGAGACAAAACAGGGACAGAAACAGTGAGACAGACACATACAGAGGGGCAGTCTCAGAAAGACGAGGCCACGGACAGACACACAAGCCGAGGAACAGAGGCTGAGGAGCGGAGGGAAGGAACCTCTGGAGAGCTGAGACCCGCAAGCTGGAGCGCAGAAGGGGCTGGGGGAGGCTGGTGGAGGCGGCCACGCGCTGCGGAGGGGAAGGGTCGCCCAGGAGCTGAGGTCCCTCTATCCCATCTTCCCCCGTAGGCCACACAACCCTGCCCTGCACCTTCGAGGCCCGGCCCGCCTCTCCCCTCCCCCGCTTCCCGACTTCAGTTCTCTTTCCTACCGCCAGGTGCGAACCTCTAGTCTCCGTAGCCCGCGGTGCGCAGCGTGTGTGTGTGTGTGTGTGTGTGTGTGTGTGTGATGAATGTCAGGCAGGAAAGGGAAGTAACCGAGTGACCCCTTCGCTCTTCTTCGGTCCCTCCAGAGGTTCTTTTCTTCTCTTGAGAAACCACCCAGACTCGCTCCAGACCTGGCCCAGGACGCACAGCTCACTGTGCCCTCAGGCTGGATACAGTTGAATCCTTACAGGGAAACGGGACTGGAGGATTCTGCCCCTGGGGCATCTTCACCTGATGGGAAGTGGGTAGCTTTCTGGCACTTTCCAGACGTCACCTGAATCTTGCCAAGTCTTGTAGACAGAAGATCCGAGACCCAACAAAGGACCAGGGGCATGTCCTAGTTATCAGCCAAAGTCCTCGTGTGTTAGGAGAAGGGCTGCCAATATTCCTCCATCCCCATTTACCAACACAGCGAGGAATACCCCTGTTCTGGTTACCTAGGGCCTCTCTGTCAAGAATATACCGCAAATGGGATGCCTTAACAGTTTCTTCTTACAATTTGGAGGCTTTGAGTCCGAGTTCAAAGTGCCAGGCTCTAGGGACTGGGTGGAAAGCCCCTCAACCTTGGGCTTCAGCTCTGTCTCCTGCTCCTGGCCCACTGAAGCTGGAGGCTTTTCTTCACTCAGACAGCTGCTGGCTGCTGAGGCTGACAAGCCCAAGGTCGACAAGTAACAGGGCACAGTCTCAATGTTACCAAACCACACAGCAGGCCATTAATTCAAGTCCATTAGAAGTCCAAGATCGGCAGAGCATGGCAGGCTGCTGAACAACAACTTGGCTATGTGCAGGGTTCAAGCGTGCCATAAGTTAGAGACAGTCCCAAGGCTTCTCTTTATATGCAGGAAGCAGACTACATCCCTAAGGCAGCTACTCAACTGCTCACTATAGATTCCACCATGGAGCTGATTACCAGTTTTATCATGGGGAATATGGGGAATATCTCCATTGCCCTCAGAATACTACATCTAGCCACTCAACCATGCCCAGCCAAGTTGACACACAAACTTAACTATCACAACCCCCCTTCAAGATATCCCCTTTCCTGGTTACCCATTCTTGCTTCACACAAAGATCACTGATCCTTGATTGCTTCACTCCATACCATGGAGTTCTTTGAGGTGTCTTCTCAAATTACTTTTCAGGTCTAAACCTTTATAAGTTTAGAGCTGATCAGTGCCCTCAGAAAGTTCTCCACATTGGTATGTGAGGTGCACTTCTTTCTTAACCTGAGCACAGGGAGCCCAAGGCATCTCAGAACTGGGAAATCAGAAGTGCCACCCTTTCCTTAGACCCTCCCATGAATCTCTGTTGTCCTCAGAATCAAGTCTGAGTTGGCACCTACCTGCTGCCCCCTCACCTTGGCTTTCTTTGCAGTTCCCACACTGAGCTTTTGGTTCAGAACAGTTCTCTCTGCCTGGAATGCACAACCATTCACCCCTGCCTTCCTTCCTCCTCCCCGCAAAAAAAGAAGAAGAAAAACAAACCATACCCAGTTGATTCCCGTTTTTCCATTGGGGCTCTACGTGGACATCACTGCTTCCTGGGAGACTTCCCTGAGGCCAGTGGACTAGATTGGGTATCCCTGCTATGGGCTGTAGTACCACCCTCTCTTTTAGTTGCACGTCATCTTGTTGTAGTGTTTCCAATAAAGTGCAAACTCTCCAGGACAGGGGTGTGTCCTCTTGTTAATCACTTTCTCCCCAGCCCCGCCGTGGTGCCTCACATATAACTCTGCATATTGTAGGTTTTCCCATACCTGTCTGTTGAATGAATTAATGAAAGCTAGCCTGAAATCTTTACATTGGGAAACCAGCCCTCAAATCCAGGGAAAGAAACCCCACCCACTGACTCCCAATCCACACTCTTCAAAAAGAGATCATCCCCTGCTCTTCATTCCCCTGATCTCCAGGGTCAGAAAACATCGTCCCTCTCAGGTCTGCTTTTTGCCTGGAAGAAAGTTGTTCACTTGAGGAATTCACAGGGAGCCATATCCCTTCCTGAGTAGGGGTAACTGAGATAGGAGGGGAGGCAACGAGGCCTGATGCCTCTTTAGGCCCGTGTTCCAGCTGTCTCAGACACTGTGAGCCATCCCTGCCATTTCTGGTCATTTCCTCTTAAATTATAAATAAATTCCTCTTTCTGTCAATAAATTCCTCTTTCTGTCTAAACTACTTTTAGCTGGGCTTCTGGCATTTGCAACCAAGAACTTTAAAGGCATGGCAACTTTACAGGTAAGCAATAAAAGGTACTGGGATTAGAAGTCTTATTGTAAAGTGAATTTTCATAAGGGAGACCTACCTGGGCACGCATTGATCTTCCAGTGCCTCAGGATCAGGAGTTGGGCTTTCCCTCTCTGCAGGCATCCATTTGCATCTGCTGCTTAGCAAAGAGCTGAGAAGCCTCCCAAGAAAATGCTTTGAACACTGCCCACCACTGGTAATCTTCACATGGCATCCATCTTCTCCAGTACGTGCCCTCCTCTGTCTAACCTACTCTTTTTATAACTCAGAAGTGTTTAGGTTTAGGATGCAACCTACACTGTTCAACCGCATTAACAACAAAGAAAACCTTATTTCCAAGCAGCATTACATCCACAGGAATCAGGGTTAGGATTCTAACAATATTTTAAGGGGGTGGGGTAACACAATTCAGTTCATAACACCAAGTGGCTGAGCTCCTTATCTGTTATCCCTGATACCTGGCTATGTAACCCAGACATGAACCCCCTATCACTGCACTGCAGCATCACTTCTACCCCTAGAATTTCAGAAGATATAGGGGCCCTGCCTATTACCCAACCCAACTCCTTAATTTTTGCAGATGAAAAGACTGAGGCCCAGGGAGAGATATTGTAGAAGTATAGCAATTTTCCAAAGGGAAAACAGTAGGAATAGGACAAGGTGGCAGGGTTTCCCTGACACAGGGAGCAGCATGTGAAAACGAGCCAGGTCATCCAGTGGGGACTGCCCTGTATCTTACTCTCTGGTCCCAGCTCGGATAGTAACTTACTCTGTGAGTCTGAGCATTGGAGACACCATGAGAATGGACAAGGAAGGATGCTCTGGAGAACTCTTTCAACTAATGGTCACTTGGAGAGTGATAGCCTGGAAATTACTGGGTACCATCATGTTATTCCTGATTCTATGAGCAGCCACTGAATTTAGCCTCTCCTCAGAATTCGACTGGGCTTAGAGCATGGCCACGATGCTGATTTATTACTCTTTGTCAGGCATATGGGTACAGGGGATGGAGCAGTGGCTCCACTCAATAATGAAATGTATCTTTACACCCCCTTAAGCAATATCCTCAGTGTCATCACTGTACAATTATGATTGGAAAGCAAGTTTGATCTGATGTTTATGCTTAACATCTAATCATTTATGGAGCTTATATATCAGTGAAAAGTTAACACGTGTCTTAACACTGCTTTAAGGACCATAAAACTCCTCTTACCCTCATTTTTCTACCAGCTCCATAAGCAGCCTTCTTCCAAATCCCTATTCTCTCCTGCTGTGAGCCTCTGGCTCAGAGAGTGTTGGAGGCAAACACATTAACTACATATTCTCCCAACCCGTCTATCAGAGCCCACAGTCTCTTGCTGTGTCAGGGGGACAAACTTCTCTTTTT